GCTCAATCCGCTAGAAGGTACCGTGGAAGCTCCCGCTGTGGACCTTATGTGGCTGAACACACTAAGAGATACCAAAACTGCTTTTTGACCCCTAAAAGGTACAACGTACGACAAGTACCCCCGTCCTTTTTATATGGGAGGACTCCCCCCGGAGGGTATGCGAGTTTTAAAAATAACTATTTTTGGAATCATAGTTTCATTAGACGTGAGAATTGTGAATGTTTTCGTTTATACACCAATTTAAATGCTTTTGTATCCCAATTTTAACACTCACCCAACTGGGCATTGCACAATTTTTTTTGGGCATGGAGACCACCCCCCCTCCCCTCAAGTCTAAAGATGCCTGTACACCTATGCCTTATACATTTTATTCCTTTCTTTCAGCCACATCAAATGGCATGTCAAAGACAAATGGACCTCAATGTATACAAAATGAGTGATGAAGCACTACATTTCTACTTATTTACTTTACACTCTTGGGGTACACGCTTGAAACTAGTTTGTGTCATGACTAAGTTCCTTTCATGACGCAACTTAGCCTGCGAGCAGGCTCACATGTTTAGGTAAGGTATTGCAGGCATGGGTGGTGGAGCAGTAACTGAGAGTCAGCAAAGCCATTCTTATCACCAGCTTTGCCGGCTCTCGGTTGCAGCTCCGCCGCCCTTGCCCACGATACCCTACCTAAACAAGTGAGCCTGCTCACAGGCTAGACGCAACTCCTCATTTTACTTTTTGTAATTAGCCAACTGGTCAGCCTTCCAGTAGTTGGAATTCTTAATAGGGTAGTAACAGGGCCATAATAAAGAGGATGTTGTGCTGTATTTGCAATTATTTGTTTATTTATTTACAGTGTCCCCAATTNGAGTGATGAAGCACTACATTTCTACTTATTTACTTTACATTCTTGGGGTGCACGCTTGAAACTAGTTTGTGTCATGACTAAGTTCCTTTCATGACGCAACTTAGCCTGTGAGCAGGCTCACATGTTTAGGTAAGGTATTGCAGGCAAGGGCGGTGGAGCAGTAACTGAGAGCCAGCAAAGCCATTCTTCTCACCGGCTTTGCCGGCTCTCAGTTGCAGCTCCGCCGCCCTTGCCCACGATACCCTACCTAAACAAGTGAGCCTGCTCACAGGCTAGACACAACTCCTCATTTTACTTTTTGGAATTAGCCAACTGGTCAGCCTTCCAGTAGTTGGAATTCTTAATAGGGTAGTAACGGGGCCATAATAAAGAGGATGTTGTGCTGTATTTGCAATTATTTGTTTATTTATTTACAGTGTCCCCAATTAAATACAATGCATAATAAATGATACATGATAAATACATTTAACACTTAAATAGTCATTTATTTTAATTTTTTAGCCCTAGTTGTACATGCAAGAGACCTGGTTGTACATGCAAAAGAACATATCCATTTAGAGTAAAGAACTTCAACACCTTGTTTTTATAAATTTACTGGAAAACTACTCTGTTACTTTCACAGGCCAAAACTATGGAGAAATCTCACTTGCTTAACTAGAAACTCCTTTTTTATAAGGTGACAAATGAATTCTTGTAAAAGAAGTGAGCTTAAGAAGGAAGACAGTTTCAAAATGATCAAGGTTAGCTCATTTCCTTCCGTACCATTCCCAAATGCCATCACAATTAGCCATTCAGAAGCAATGTCTACTGTTCTGATATCCTGCAATATACATGTAGTCAATATCAAGTCACTGACCTGATATGATATGATATCATGGTCACTTGGCCAAATTTGGGTGTGGTAAACATCTAATTGTACCTTATGTGGTACACTTAGGCAGTACATCGTGCTCGTTTAGTCTCACCATGGGTATTTTTTTGGGCTCGACTACATTTCACCAAAATATATGACCCAATACGCTGCTGAGCATACTGGAAAGGTAGGATTAAGCATTTCTGGTTAAATTTAGGTACAGCCTGCATGATAAAATATATCTAATCACACCTTTTTGGTTTGCTATAGTGGCATGCGAGGCTTGTTTGGCCATGCAATGGGTATTTGGCTTGACTGTGTCTTACCAAATTACAAATCACAGCTCTACCAAACATGCTTGATATGCTGCTTAAGTGTACCGATAAGTCAGGATTAGGTATTGTTATGGTATACAAAGCTTGTTATAATACCTGCCTTCATATTTAAGATATTATCCAGTTTCCCAGGTTTAAAATCTTACAGGGGACTCTGCAGGATCCTAGAGTGGAAGTGTGGTGGCCTCATGGTTGGTGTGTTTGACTCAAGATTGAGCGGTCTGTGTTCAAGTCCTGGCCAGGATCATTGTGCTGTGTTCTTGCACAAGACACTTTACTCTCACAGTGCCTCTCACCACCCAGATGTACAAATGGTTACCAGCAAATTTAATGCTGGAGGTAACCCTGCGATGGACTAGCATCCCATCCAAGGGGGAGTAGAACTATTCCTGGTCACTTTATGCTACAGAAACCGAGATAAGCTCTGGCCTGATGTCCGCCACTTGTCTCGTATGCAGACTTTACCTTTTTACCTTTACCTTAGGAATACAAGCATTTATTTTTACAACTTATTTTGCCAGATTGCATGATCTGATAGCCTGTCGGTAGAGTATCAATGAGAGCATATGTCTACTGTTTATTTGTCTTTATAAATAAAAATATGGCTGCAGTTGTATATTGAGTAATTAGACATACTTTGAAGATTTTGAAGTGTATTGAGTGTAGTAATCTTCCTCGTTTGATGCGAGCTTTTGTAGCTGAAAAAATGGGAAAAGCCACCAAAGGTACCATAGAGGTCCACAGATATCTTGAAAGTTCTTCTTCCATCCTTCATCATAAATGAAAATGTTATGTCGCCATTCATAAGTTGTCTGTCCAGAGAAAATCAATGTCATTTGAAAGACAAAACACCCAAAGCAACCGAACGCTTGAATTAAACACAGCCATGTCACACAGACCACAAGAAAATAATATAACGTGACACTACCAGTCCACAGTTTAAACACAGTCAAAAGTGGTATTACTTTGCAGATGGCTTCAAAGCTTAGAGGAATTAAAGGGCCAATATTGATGTGCAAATAGTACAGGTTTATAATCACCACATAAGCTGATCCGACGAATACGAATAGATTGAAGACTATAAAGAAACGGTAGTTGGCGTGACCGAGGCAAGATGCCGTGAAAATGCAATGATGGTCACGCCTTACAATGCACCTATCACAAAACGAACAATGGTGTGACCTCGGAGGCGAATTTTGTTCGCAAGATTGACAGTAGAAATATCCATCCCTTTCTTCGTTGCATGTTTCAACCTTCTTATAAGACGTGTCGGTGGTCACTAAGTAATAATAATTCCCAGTCACGTTGATCATAATGTAAAGAAAAACCAAGAAGTTTGTTGTAAACAGTTGCATGGAGTCTCGAAACAGCGAAGGAATCACTTCAAAAAATTCTAACCAAAGTAAAAGAATAATCATCAAGATGACATATCCAATTCCCATGGAATGGGTTCCAAGGATTGTGTTTCGGGGAGCTTTCCCAAAATATCTATGCTGGGTCAAGTCGTTCATCTCTTTGCTGAGACTGTCAAATCCAATATGGCTGCCTTGCAAACCGCCTCTCGGGACTTTCCGTTACTCATACATGTACATATGTCTGCTTTGGGAAAATTCCGCTGTGATTACGCGGGAGAATCAATTTTTTCCACGAGGATCTTCTGGAGAGAATGAAGTCAAGTCTTCGAAGACGTTCAGCGTTTGGTGTTTACCAGTCGCAGCTAATAAAGGAAAATGAAACATCTCTAAAGGAGGAAGAAAGACTCACTGAACCGTCTGGATCGAAGAAAAGGTCGCACGAAGACAATTCGTCAAGCCACTCCAAGAAAACAAGCAAACTTAGCAGCAGTAAGAGTTTGAACACGGAAGACGAGAATGGAAATTTTGATCTCGATGACCAAACTGCTGATATTCTAGAGCCCAAACAAAAAGGAAAAGGAAGGCTATTCAGCAAAGCGAATAAGCTTAGACAGAGTCTGGGCTTGTCCAGCCGTAAGAAGAAGCGAAACGGCTATCGAAGTTATGATCGTGTCGATCTGGAGAACTCCTCAAGTAATCTTACTGCAAACAGCTTGGCTGTGGAGAAGGCAGACAAAACCGACAGCGAGACTGGGAACGACGAATCGGATCAGCAGGAGGAATTGATAGCAAAGAAGAACTTAGATCAAGAAGATTTAGAAGCTGATGGACTTTTCTCCTGGCTAATAAGTCCAGTAAAAGCCAGAAAGTTTTTCAGGTAGTGTGCAACGGAGGGGGTTTGGGGTGGGGGTTGGGGGTGGGGCACTCCCATATGAAAATGACAGGGGTACTTGTCGTACCTTTTAGGGGTTATAAAGGCAGTTTTGGTGCCTCTTAGAGTGTTCAGCCTCAAAAGGTCCACAGTGGGAACTTTTTTCATACCTTTTAAG